AGGGGGGGGGATCCAAAAATCGTTCACTAGGACAGACCCCCGGTTTTAATATAATCTGTAAAACTACTCGTTAAATAGTTATGTGTATTGTATATATCTCAATTTTATTGATATCTTCTAGGATTACCCGTAACTTGAAGCAGGCTGGTAACGCTGACAAGATCGTTGTTGTTGTCGGAACCGTTACCAACGACCTCAGGTGTGTATGTTACAACTTAACATTGGTGCAGAGGCCGTAATAGTACAAACAATACCCAATTACACACTATTGTTGATGAAGTGTGGCTGATGTCTCGCGCAAGATTTTATTACGATAGATAATTAGTATGCTAACAATCTGTTTTGTCATTTGACTGACAATTTGGTTTTGGGTAAGAACGATCTTAGATGCGTATTGAGCGGGGGGGGGGGGGCACCAAGATTATCCCCACTCCTCCCGCTGCCCAAATCAATATCCTAAATTGCATCCCATTTTTTATTAATTAATTTTACAGGGTGTTCGATGTTCCTAAGATGACCCTATGCGCTCTGCGTGTGACCGAGAAGGCACGTGACAGGATTCTGAAGGCTGGCGGTGAGATCATCACCTTCGATCAGTTGGCTCTCAGGGCTCCTACTGGCAAGAACACTCTGCTAGTCCAAGGTAAGATTTGACCGGCCTTTTGGAACGTTCAAATAAAAATTCATATTGGTGTATATTAACGCATGAAAGGATGAAATTATTTGCAAATTAACATTATTTAAGCTCATAAAATACTTATTTTTTTCTGTTTTTGTCGTCCTATTTATATACATCCACGAAATGCTTCCAGCTTTAATTTGAAAGGAGTAATTGACATAATACTGGGTAATTTTCTAGGGAATTATATCAGGGGACCCTTCTATTAATTTTGTACATGCATCTAATATTTAACACAGAAAAAAATTGTCATTGAATTTTTGCAATAAAAGAATCTCTTTGTAAACCTTGATCACATTTAATCAATTTTCTTCCGATGTTAAATGTCTATCTATGATTGTAAGATCGCTAAGCGTAGTTCTAGAGCTCTATTTATTAAATATAGAATTAAACCAGATCTCCTGGGTATCCCAGATATTAAATAGATAACATGTTTTAACAATCGTTTCTCTCAGGACCTAGAACTCAGACCGAGTCAAACAGGAAGTTCGGAGCTCCCGGAGTTCCCGGCGCTAACGTCAAGCCTCTTGTCCGTTCCAAGGGTCGCAAGTTCGAGAGTGCCAGAGGACGCAGGAAGAGCAGAGGATACAAGAAGTAAACTGGAGAGAAGAACAGTGCCTCGAGCCTGCTTTAATTCTGATCTTGATTTCAGATTGAAAATGCTTTGTCATGTGCCAAAATTGAAAGAAAAGGAGGAACATAACGAGGTAAAAGATAAACTACACATATCCCCTCCTCCCCCGGTCCCCTCTTCTTATTCTCCTTTTAAGGGTGATTGCAACATACTCAAGATTTGATATTTAAATAGATTTGACATTTAAATAGATTGGACATTTAAATAGATTGATTTTTTTTGCGAAAGAAATAAATAAGAGATTTTAAGGATGACAGTGATGATGGGGAACAAGGTCTAGAGGGAGAAAGTAATGATGAAGAAGATGAAGGAGGTAGTGATGAAGACAGTGATGATATTGGCGAAGATATTCCTGACATTGGCGAGGAACCTGGAAAGGCGAAGCAAGAGGTGGAAAATCCTCTTTTCGAAGAATCTGGGGAATCTAATGACTCAGATTCCGACGATTTCAACGATTCTGACGACAGTGACGATGATTCTGATAATGATGACGATAAGAAAGAAGAGAAACCTAAAGGATTTGAAGGGGAAGATGATTTGATTGCAACACTGAAAGCTGCCAGGGAAAAGAAAGTTCGGGATAGTCCGGCAGATATTAGGTTATACTTATTATTTAACCACGGGGAGGTCATATTGTTGATCTGTCTTCGAAAATTTTATTATATACTAGCTTGGAAACCCAGCTCCGTTTAGTTAATTTTTGGGAACCCAGCTTTGCCTGACAATTGAACATTCTCTAGAAAGTGCAATTAACGTGTTTCGAATGTATTTTGAACAAAATTATTAATACTTCATATGAAGTTATGTCATTTCTCGCAAATAAAAAATTTGTTTTAGGAGTGATTTTAGAATTTTTAGAAATCTAACGATTTTTTAAGGGACTGCAAGCGTAATTTCTAGGGACTATTTATAGTAGGTTATGCAAGGACGAACTGGAGAAATTATAAGAAATAAACACGTTACTAGTCGGGAAAACGAATTTATCTTTGAAGTATTTGATCAGATTTCCAATGTCACTAAAAATTCGCTGGTACTTGGCAGCCCCTTCAATGTTTTGCTTGTTTAGGTTGAAGGAGAGTGGGACAGACATCTCCTTCCATCCAGAACAGAACCTGCTCACAGTTGGAAATATCCAGGGAGAGATATCAGTCTTCAGAGTGGAAAACGAGGTAGGAATATGAGACGTGCATATATTCACTAATAATATTTAAGATGTTCTGAAAACAGACCTCTTAAGGCAAATGCATCCCTTTAAATCTTATCTTCCCCAATTCAGTGAATATAACCCTTGGCATCAAATTTTACAGTCCTGGGATACAAGGGGATTACTTCTGAAATGTCTGAATAATTTACACTGATAAAATTAGAAAATAAAACGATGATATCTTCACTGAAGCCTATTTAAGTTTTATTGGATACCGTTATCGGGTTTATAACTTCTGAACTGAAAACTTTAGAATAGTGGATATCATGATTAATGCTTGATCCACTCTTTTTCTATATCTCGAGATTAAATAATACTTGTTCTCCTCTTTTTATTAATCTCAAGATTAATTAACCGATCGGGATTAAGTATATCGCATTCCAAAGTTTTCAGCTCTGGAATGCGTATTTTCATCAAGTTAAGTTGACCGTTCTTTTCCCATTCTAGGAGAACACTGCGTTGAAGAAGTTAAAGATACATAAGGGCGGAGTACGTTGTGTTGAGTATAGTCTGGACGGAGGAACAATTATCACCGGAGGGAAGGATAAAACTATTAAGGTTAGTAATATTGTTGAAGGTACAGGGTGTCCCCCGAAACATGGCAGTTGTAAGCAGTGCTCAGGATCCGGAACCGTTAAATAATTATCCATAATAAAATTTACTCTCAAACCCAAAATCTGAACTCAAAAGAGAGATTATAAAAGTTTCCTGATTTCTGAATGGTTCAAGTTTTAACATAAATACAAGCGAACAAAATTAGACAAAAAATTTAAATTCTGGTTTATTAAAAAATCAGTAAATTTTATGGAAATGACCTGGATCCGGATTTGGAACTGGATCCATTTGTTCTCAGTGCGGATCCAAGATCCGGATCCGTATCTGAATTAAATGGATTTTAAGCAATGGTAGCAAGTCAACCAAATGTTGATTTAAAAGTCGTCACTAAATAATCGGCTTTTGTTTTTGCATTTCTTAAATCTGCCTTAAAATGTGCTTTTAATATTACCGGAAGTTCTCAATAATGTATCGACTTTAAAAATGGTATACCATATTTGGGATGTTCCTGGATTATGAGAATTTTTTTGTTTTGTGCAAGAAAAAGGTTGACTGATGACTTTCTGTCTTATATAAATAAATGATCAACGACTTGCATGACATGTTTCGTGGGAACCCTTGTATCTGAAAGCCTTCTTCTCATGTCTCGTCCATCTTTGCTTCCTTCCGTGTAATAGCATGGAATACAAATTTCTATCTTTTTCGGATACCCAACATTTTACTTTATTAATGTTCACCTTAAAATGAATGGAGTTTTTGTTCTAAATGTCACGCTAAAAGAAGCTGCCAGTTAAGGAAGGAATCTACTTGATTGGATTTAACGCTCAGAACAAAAGTTTTCTGAAAGTTTGTGCGCTGCGCCCTCGTGAATAACTTTATTACAATCTAAAAAAAAGACTGGTTTGTTGTGTAGCTTTGCTTTGTTACGTAGTTTTTGGTTTTGTTGCACCGACATTGATTTTCTTGCTTATTTTTGTTATGTTGCGTAGAAATTTTTTTTTTAATTAAAGTTTTATGCAGACATGAATATTGCGTGGATAGTCATAACGCAATTTTATGTTCAGGTGTTGGACTCGGAAACCTGGAGTTTTGTTTTTAAGGATCCGTTGTCCACCCCCTCCCCACTCTACACACTGGCTCCTCTTGAACACGGAGCAGTTTCCGGAGATGAAGATGGTACGGTCAAAATCTGGGATTTTAGGTGAAGCTTAAATTTTTTTTATATAACGCTGACATTGTCTGAAGTCCATTGAAGTAACCTGTTTTTTTAATGTTTCACTTTCAAAACGGGATAATGGAGATGTCCTATTTGTGTTNTTTCATTTTTGACGCATGCCTAAATTGGACACTAATGATCTCGAATGACCTCGATAAGTAGAAAAGGTTATAACTAGGACTGCTTGTATATCAAACGAAAGCTGGGAACCCAGGAAATACAGTAAAAGCAAAGAATTCATTGTTAAACCACCATATGACCTCCAAATAAAATTTTTTTAATTGACATTATACATATCAAATTAAAGCTAGGAACCTAGGCAATTTCTTAAAGTTTCTAAATTACTTTAGAACTAAGAAGAGTGTTTTGACGAGTAAACGGTTTAACGAGTTTGTCAGCAGTTTCCATGTCCAGGAGGAGAGGAAGCTCATCATTGCTGCTTCAGGAGAAGGAACTATTCAGGTACAGAGCGTCCCATTTCATACTTTATTATCTCCAAGCTTGCCAAAATACGCACATAAAAAGCGTCCCACATCATATTCAATTATTTTGACGTATTTAGCAGGAAGAGCAGAGGATACAAGAAGTAAACTGGATTTCATCCCTACCCGTCTCCTTCTCTACCTGTCCACTTCCCTCCCTACCTTTCCCCCTTGCCCATCCTTCCCCACCCATCCCATCTGTTATTACCCTTCCCCCTTTACTTTCCCCACGATCCGATAAGGTTTTAGAATTTAAGATTTTCTGATTAGTCCCGGAAATTATAATTAAGCTATAAAGCGATCCAATATGATGTGGGACACCCTGTAAAAGGACACTTCCGTACAAATCCATGGCTGAAGGAATTAGTGGGTGGTTTATTTGTCAGATTAAAAAATTCTCCAAACTACTGGATATTGGGAAATTTCCCAGGTTGCGGAGTGGTTAAGAAATTTCCCAACTGATTGGCTATTTAGAATTTTTTCCAAATACTCCGAGTCCAGACGAATGAGAAATTTCCCAAATTGTAATTGAGGAAATTCCCAACTTGTTGTAACTGTTGTCGGTTCATGTTTTATCACCGGCGTAAGTCTCGGCAGATCATTCAAAATTGATTTATCTACATTGATTTATTTTTTTAAAAGCGTTCCTCGTTGGTATGATTTTTAATTATACTGTTCCTTCATTTATCCAGTTTATACAGTCTCAAAACTAATGAGCTAACATAAATTAGGATATTCGAAATTATTGAATATAATTTACTCTGTATATTAATGTGATATATGCAACCATATGAATATCATGAAAACAATCTGAAATTTTCTTATATACTCCGCCAGGAGTCCTGAAAATAATCCTAACATAAACATAAACATACTGAATTGAACTGTTGCTAGGTTTACATCCTACAGTAGAAGGATTTAATTGTTTCAGGTGTACAGTACTGAATTGAACTGTTACTACGTTTACATTGTACAGTAGAGGGATTTAATTGTTTCAGGTGTACAGAACTGAATTGTACTGTTACTAGGTTTACATTGTACAGTAGAGGGATTTAATTGTTTCAGGTGTATAGTACTGAATTGAACTGTTACTAGGTTTAATTGTACAGTAGGAGATTTTATTGTTTCAGGTGTTCATTGGTGAATTGAACTGTTACTAGGTTTACATCGTACAGTAGAGGGATTTAATTGTTTCAGGTGTACTGTAGTGAATTAAACTATTTCTAGGTTAACATTGTACAGTAGGAGATTTAATTGTTTCAGGTGTACAGTAGTAAATTGAACTGTTTCTGTGTTTACAGCGTACAGTAGAGATTTAATTGTTTCAGGTGTACAGTAGTGAATTGAACTGCCTGGGTTCAGTTCGGGAAGGAACTAAGCTTGTTGTTGGAAGTGGCGAAGGAACTCTGTTTATCTTTAATCAAGGATCCTACGGATACCACAGGTGCGTATTTAAGTGTTAAAAGTTCTGGGGTATTTATTTTCTGAATTCTCCCCCTCCCTTCTTTAGTAAATATTTAACTGGTAGGAAAAGAGTAAGGAATGTTCTGTTATCATATTTTTTAATGAAATTGTGTGCGGAGCGCGAACAATTTTGAACGTTTTTATTATGCATTAAACTCGGGGAATTATTTGAAAACTGACTAGTTTCAAAGAAAGTTAGAGCCTCGCTCCACCTCTTCACTTCCCCGAATTCCTCTTTCCTTCCTTATCTACCAACCTTCCATCAATTTCTTCCCTTCCCTGCAATCCCCATAATTCTTCTACTTCCCTACCTTCCTTTTCCCTTCGCTACCTTCCCTGTCCTGTAGTTTCCTAATCCCTAATTTTGTCTTTCCCTCTCAACCTTTCTCTTCCCCTCCCGACCTTCCTTTTCCCTACATTTCCTCTTCCCTTCTTTTAACCCTTTCATCCCTACCCGTCTCCTTCTCTACCTGTCCACTTCCCTCCCTACCTTTCCCCCTTGCCCATCCTTCCCCACCCATCCCATCTGTTATTACCCTTCCCCCTTTACTTTCCCCTTTTCCATTTGTCTCCCCTTTTTCTTATGTTTCCCCTTTCCCTCCCGTGCTCNGGGCGGGTTGAAAGAATTTTATACACCCCTGTACTATTTTAGTGACCAATATCCCGGACATCCTGACTCAATCAACAGTTTGTTATCTGTGACGGACAATGTGGTTCTAACTGGTTGTGAAGACGGTTCTATTAGAGCAGTTCATCTCTTCCCCCACAGATTTATTGGAAATGTAAGCTTTGTTTCATTCAATTGAATTAAGGTGGAGACATTTGAGAATAAGTAAATTTATTTGTATGGTAAAACTAAATCATGAAACCAGAAAATATAATCTAAATATTTATAAACAGCCTCCCCTTGTATTTTATCTTAGGCGCTGTTGTCTATATCCACATGGCAAATAAAAACTGAGCCAAGAGCTTGTTCGTAATTTCACTATCTTAGACCCTTAGCAGTGGTCTTCAAAATATTGAAATTTGATTTGTCGGTTTGTCATTTAAAAAACGACCTTAGCTGGTTAAATATCCGTTAAAAACACCATTTCATAGAAATGTTCATTTTTATTTTATTTTCAATTGTAATTGAAATATAACTTTTGTTTGTTGTTTAACATTTGATGGATGATCAGAATATTCTACAATTCCCTTTCTTATGATAATTATGTTCGTTAACGTTCAGTTGTATTTTGCCACCTTCAATATATGACTGTTAAGGTTGGACAGCATGAAGGAGATATGCCGATTGAGAAGATGGACATCAACGGTTCAGGAGAAATCGTTGCCAGCATAGGTTAGAAAACTATACGATTTATCTCTGGACTGAAAGAAACTGTAGAAAGTAAGTGCTAAGAGGGAAATGTTCGATTTACAGCCGTACCGATGGGGTGGGGGGTGTAGTGCAGAAGTCCTTAATTAGTAATCACCGCCACACAAACGTGTGCTGCGGCATGCGCGCTCCTCAAATGGTAATCCCCACCATCTCAATTAGTAATTTTAATGAGATTTAAAAATGCATTTTTATCACAATTTTAGACATCTCTTGGGGTTTCATGGCGTCTGTTTTGACTTAAACCTAAATTTTAAATTTGGTTTTATATTGGTTTGGTCAACAAAAACTGAGAATCAGGGCATAGTTTATTTTAGCCCGTACCCTTATAAGCGATGCATTAACCGTCAATGTCCAATTATCAATTGAGGTTGCTTGGCTTAGTGACTTATATTTCTCTACTGTGTATAGAAATTATCTGAATTAATAACTTTAAAACCCAGATCAGATAAGGTTCAAGGGCCCTGTTGTGAATCTGGCTTTCCGTGGGACGGTCACTTAAAACGTTCTTTTTTATCCCATGATAACTGATTGAACTCGATTTATCCTAATCTGTTTCTAAGTTGACTTGTTGATAGTTCTAAGGTTATATGACCGAATGTCTTATCAATTAAATACGGTTACAGCCGGTTATTTTTTATCTCGGCTTGGAGCATTTTTAAGAGTGCTTTGTACTAGGGCATGATAACCGGGTTAAGTTCTGGAATATTGGATACTTGGAGAAAATGGAATACGAGAAGAAGTCGAAACCAGTTTTACAGGTTAGTGAACTTTCAACGTTTTTCCTTCTCTGATAATTGTTTAATTTATAAGTCAGAAATAATCATGTTGAAAATAACTTTGTTAGAAGTATCGAAAAAAAATATTGTGTTGAAATTTTCTTCCGCTGATAATTGTTTTAATTTATGTCTTATGTTGAAAATAACTTTTTGAGAGGTATCGAAATAAAATATAATTTCGAAATTTTCTAACGCTGATAATTGTTTAATTTATGCTTTAAGTCTGAAATGATCATGTTGAAAATAACTTTGTGAGCGGTATCGAAATAAAATATAATTTGGAAATTTTCTAACGCTGATAATTGTTTAATTTATGCTTTAAGTCTGAAATAAGCATGTTAAAAATAACTTTGTGAGTTTGTGAGAAGTATCGAAATGAAATAAAATTTTGAAATTTCTTCCGCAGAAATTTTTTTGAAGGCTGTAAAAAGCAGTTTGAGGAAAAATATCAAAATACATTTAACTATTTTAATTATATTAAATACATTTTATAGTTACTGTTCCAGTCAATTTTAACCTTTATAGAAAAATCTTGGTCCTAAGAAGCGGAAGCTGGCAGAAGCTGTTGCCCGAGAAGGAGAACATCAGCTTCCATCTAGCGGCAGGATTAACAAACGTGATTTCTTCAAGGGCTTTGCCGAATAGGTAGAGCTTGTATTTTATTGAAAGTATATCTGTCTACTTAAAAATATATTCCCTTTATTGCAATCTTTTATGTCTAGTTTTTTTCTGGTTTTTTTTTACTGAAGTGAGGGAAATAATATCCCCCCTCCCTCCCCGCCTTTCTAAAAAATGAAATTCTCTGGGTTTTTTTGTCTTTTTCTTTTATTATAATTTCTTACTTTGCAGGTGAATCTTGCGGATACGAGAGTAAGTTTAGAATTCCTGCTGATAAGAAACCAAGAACATTATTGTTTTCAGAAGCATGGACTCGGGCTCTCGAGCTATCCTTACCCCCGGAGTAATCCCTACTCCTCCAGCAGAACCTGATCCGGAGCTAGTGGCTCTAGTATCCAACCCTCCTCCTGCAAACCATCTCAGCAAGCTTAACTTTCCTCTCAAACTTCTTAAACGACTTATTTCTGCCAACAGTAGACTGAAGGATCAGAGGTCTGAGATGGAAAAAGGTATTTTCATTTTTGCAATTTAAGTTTGTTACTTCTTCGTTTGATCTCCCACTCTTCAAAAAAAAATTTAAAAAATTAAGAACTAAAGAGAGGGGGGAAATAATTGTTAGGTTTAATATATATTCAATGGGGCATTCTATGTTTGTTCCTGACTCCATTCAAAATGTTACAGGTGTTAGCCTGATAAAGTTTGAGTTGGCACTGTTGGACCGGTTGCTATATAAAAACCAAAACCGGTTTAGAAACGATCGTGGATTCAAAGCACTAAAAATCCTCCAAAAATCCGCTCAGAAATTTATCGACCGGTTTCCGACAAGTGTGCTTACCAACCTGAGTTCACTGATGCCTGTTGGTATTCCTCCTGTTGAACTTAGATCCACAGAATCTGTTTCAATTCTTCTTCCTCCTCCTACCATCCCTCAGTACACGGCCATACATGTGTGGGCAAGCTCACTAATGGCAGTTAGGTGAGTAAACTTTGTTCACGTTGTAAAAATGTCCAGGCTTTTAAGTTTAAAAAGTTCAGAAACTTATGGGGTAGCATTTTCTCTTCCTCATGATAGCTTGCTAGCTGCTCCTTGAGATGACAAAAGTATGAGCCCACTGCTACCGCTGCATTGAAGAACACAATCCGATAACCTACTCCGATCGTTTGGGTTCTTCATTGCAGCTGTAGCGTGGAGCGTATCTTTAATTTTGCACGCAATTAAATGAGGATTTTGTCGATGCAGCCATCTCCAGAAATGTATTGGGCCCAAGTTATAGTTATGGTACTTGCAAAGCCAATTTGTGCCCAAAATTTTAATTAGTATCGTTAAACGAAACTACCGAGTTTCTTTTCTGAAAAAGCAGAAATTTAAACTTTTTCCTTTGTAGAGTTGAATACTGTTGTCTGAGTGCTGGTATATACGCTCTGCAGAGACTTAGACTGGGACATTTCTGGGGGGTTGCTGCCTACCAGTTAGCAGTTGTTAGCAGGTCAGTTTATAGGAGGGTTAAGTTTTATCCGTTATAAGGATCCATTCCATGTTTATGCAAATCTGGATCCTTATTTTTTTCGCCGATTATTACAATTTTCAATAGTTAAGATTTGTTTTTATTGGTTATGTTTTGCCCACTGAATCCGGATCCGTGGATATGCATTTGTCCCAAGCCGGTTGCAGAAAGCTTAAATATTGCGAACATGAATCTTTATCACTGATTTTATATAGATTTTATTTTATTTTTAGTGCTTTCTAATTTAGGAAAAAGTAAGTCGAAGGAAGTTGAGCTTATTCCTTTTTAATAGAGACTTAGCGTTTCACTTACTTTAATTTTTTCACTTTAATATTCTAAATTAAATCATTCTCTTGGCGCAGAATAATAACAAAGCGTCTAATTTTTTTGACGGTGTGATTTTTCATATTTTTTCAAGGAGCAACTTAATTCCTTTGCTACTTGGGGGTTAATTATTTTAGCTTTAATTTAATGCTATTTTAGCATTAAACTTTATGATACTTTAGCTTTAATTAAATTTATATTATAGATTGTGGGTACTGGTGTGCAAGGTGAAATCTCAACTGAGAATTATTCTGAAAAATCTGAAGATTATTGGATCAACTCTACCGGGGCCACGATTGTACTCTGATCAAGTCTTGTCTAAAATTTTCCAAATAATTCCTGAATCTGAAGAGAAGGGAGGAAGGAAACGCAAGAAAGATTCTGCGGATTTTTCTGAGAAGCAGAAAGGCGAGGAGATATCTTTCTTCCTGGAACATTATGATCTAGGTAAAGATTTCAAACTTATTTGGTTAATTCTATTTATTTTTCAACTGTTTTTAAATTTGGATTTAACAAATTGAAGCCAATGTTTAATTCGAGTTATTTACGTGACAATATTCATAACAAGTTCTATTTAATATAAATGACTGTCTTAAATGCCGTTGTTCTGAATTTTTCGATAGTAAATGGTTAATTTCAGAAATGACCTCAATTTCTCTATTTCGCAGGTGTAAAGCTGAAAAGATCAGAGTTTGTTGCCGAAGTTAAGAAGGTCGCAGCTGATGAGGAAAATTTTACTCTACAATCCTCAACTGAGAAAACTAGATCATTTCCTTCCAAGAATCCTTCAGAACTAGATTTGCAGTTTATTTCTGATCTGCGTAGTTTTGAAGATTTGCAGAGTTTTCTTGAATCTGAAACCCGTCACCGGAAGGAGAACAAGAAATCCGCAATTACCCGCCGTCTATCTCAGGACAGCTGGAAGGGGTTAAAGAAGAATCTATTGCTTTCGTTTAACAAGAAGCTTCCCAACAAATCCATTAAGCTGTGTAGAAAAATGTTAAAGGATTCATTAAGCTGAGCCTGAACTTAAAGAATGTAAGCCGCGGCTTAAATATGAGACGCGGCCCAACATGGTTGGTTCCATTGTAATCAGTGTTTCGAGATTTAAGCCGGCGCTTACTTGGATACTGTTTTTAGCGGATTGGAAATTTGGTTAAGATTCTTTAAATTCGGCCTCTTTTTTTATTACCGAGATTGCTTTATTTAAGATTATTTTACTTAGAAGTAAACCTTGACTCACTAACTTGTATGTCTAATGTCGAACGTGGTTCTTATTTCTGTTATAATTACACCATCTCCTCTAAATAAATTTGACTGTTTTGACTGTTACAGAAGAAGAATGGGTAAGATCAAGTGCAGCGAGCTGAGAACTAAGAAGAAGGAGGAGCTGACCAAGCAGCTGGAGGATCTCAAGATGGAGCTCGCTCAACTTAGAGTTGCTAAGGTCGGTGCCATTTTGTTCATGCTCCGAAAAAATGGGATAATCAACGAAAGGATTTCAATCGCGGGTTTTATAGGGGGAAAATATGTAAATTTTATGGAAAATGTATCTTATAAGGGTCTAAACTTCTAGGGTTAATAAATTTTTTCAAGGAATTTTATTGATAATTATTGAAATGAAAGCAAGTCATTTTAGAGCCATTTTATGTTGATTATTAACTTGTTAAATGTATAGATTTAAACTTGATTTTGGATGTCGTTAACACTTGTTATCCTCATTTCAGCTGTCACAACTTTTTATTATTCAGATATTTTAACCTCTAATTGTCTACTTTTTATTATTCAGAAATTTTAACCTCTAATTGTCTAGGTGACCGGTGGAGCCGCTTCCAAGCTCTCAAAGATCCGTGTTGTGCGTAAGTCCGTTGCTCGCGTGCACATCGTGATGGCTCAAAAGCAAAAAGAGAACTTGAGGAAGTTTTACAAGAATAAGAAGTACAAGCCCCTCGACCTGAGGCCCAAGAAGACCCGTGCCATCAGGAAGGCACTCACCCCCCACGAGAAGGGACTCAAGACCGCCAAGGAGCTCCGTCGTAGGCGCGCATTCCCCGTGCGCAAGTTCGCCATCAAAGCTTAACTTTATCCGAAATAAAGATTCTTGGTTCTAATCTTGACTTTTATTTCCCTTTCAGACTGCAATGGCGACATTAATGAAGTTTGCGCCAAAATGGCTGCAACAAGCTGTTTTTCAAACCTCGCATCCTGATCAGGTGTGAGGAAACTAGATGTTCATGTATCGTTTATGATTGTTGTGTAAAGTTTAACTATTACATAAACGTGTATTTTAACATTGAAATTCTAATGATGTAAGTGATTTCTCTGGTTTTTCGGAACAAGAAAAAAGCAGATTTTGGGATCAAAAGACGCGAAATTATTTGACTTCCCTGTTCTGCACTTGGTTTTTTCCGTAAGTACTTTGGGAAGCTTTTCTGCAGAAAAATTACGTGGGGGTACTATGACGAATGTATCGATATATGAAAACATCTTCAAGGTACCAAAAAATTACTTATTTAAATTCAATTCTGGAAATTGTGTTATAACCTTAAAGCGTGTTATTAAAAATATATCACAGAATGAAATTTTTTTAATTCCATCCCAACCTGTCTAAAACCGATAACTATTGCCAATTTGGTTGGTTTTGAATTCTGAAATTGTAATTGTGATTTCAACGTTAAGGTAAACATTTGGAAGAGTAAAAATTGCGCTAAAATATCTTTACAAACCCAATAACTGATAGAAAATTTAAAGATAAGATCAAGTGGGAGAGGGAGGGAATTCCCGGACGCCATAAGCCTCTGCTATGCAAACACTAGCCTCCCAGATTTGCTTGGCAGACCGAGCCTCCGCTATGCAGACCATGCCTCCACTATGCATTGAACGAGCCTTTACCATACAGAACATTTTTTTATTCTTTGTTTTATGTGTAATGAAAAATATTAACTATTTTGACATTGGCATGAGAGATTTCTCAAAGATGAGAAGTACTCATCAATTATCATACATATTTCCTAATAATGACTGAAAAAGTGGCATATGAAACTTTAAACATTCTTTACATTAAAAGAAAAATATTTAGAGAAAAAAAATTTAATCAAATTTCATTTCATCTTTTATAATCTTTGATTGAAGCAATACCTTTTTTGTAGTCTAAATCAAATCGAGAAAAAAAATTTAAAAATTTAAATCTTAACATTTTTCAGAGAAAGGTATTGTTCAAATCAAAGATTACAATAAATTAAATTTACTCTCCAAATATCTTCCTTTCTGAGTAAGAAATGTTTAAAGTTTTAGTATAGATAATTTTAAACCACTTAATGAGTCCATTTATGTTTTTAATCATGAAGATCAAAAAAAATATCTTATCTACAGTAAATTCTTATGCCACTACTTTAAAAAACAGTTGTTGCATTTTTCGAAGTGTCTTCTTTATAAACAAAAAAATTTTAAAACATTTTTCATTAACATAAAGACCAAGATTTATAAAAAGCTGTTCTGTATGGTGTAGGCTCGTTCACTGCATAGCGGAGGCACGGTCTGCATAGTGGAGGCTCGGTCTGCCTAGCAATGCTTGGAGGCTCGTGTCTGCATAGCGGAGGCTCATGGCTTCCGGGGGTTGTCTCCCCCAATCGGACGAATAAGCGTTCACTAATAAAAGATTTCATCAAGAATCCTTGGAGAAATTACCACAATAAAGTCTAATATTTCTCGTGATCACTTAAGTCATCCATTGTTTTTTTTTATAAAACTATCGTGATAATCATAATCACTTTGCTATAAAGTAATCATCGTGGTATAAAGTTAAATTAATTGTACATAATAGCAGGTGTGCTTTAAAGTTTATTGAGTCCCGGATTTTCTCCAAAAAAAATTAGGATATTTTCAAAACATTTTTTCAATTGAAATTAAAATAAAATTGAAACTATTTTGACTTCTGCTTTGCTTCAAAGCTTATTTGATCTAGAAACCGCCATTGAATTAAGACAAGTTAACAAACATTTCATAAAATTACTTAAAACACTCATTTTGGCACGACGTGCTATGAAGTTTTTGGAGTCAAAATTTCTCTGTATTTCGAAAGTTCTTGTCTTTTTAGATATTTTTTTTTGGACAAGATAAAATCTGAAAGACTTGAACCTTCTCGATAAAGAGAAAATTTCTATGCAAAAACTTTATAACACTGCGATAAGTAGTTATTACTAATGTGTATTAAATGTAAATCTTAAGGTATAAGAAAGAATTTCATTGTAAAGACCGCCTGAATCTCTCCAAACATGACGATCTAAAGTTTAAAAAGGTCTCGTGCTCTGATAGTATTAGGCTTATTAATTGATTTGGCAAAGAAGTTAGTTAACAGTATCATGTTTTCACACAATATAAATTCCGTACAGTCGTCTTTGAATTCTCGTTCTTTTTATGTTGAACCCTGAGCCCTGCATGATCTGGTAAAGCAGAGATTCAAAGTAAAATGAAGAATTTTCATCGCTTTATAGCTAAATATCAGCCCAGCCACATTATCTAATGGATTTTCTATGAACAAGGTATTGGGCCATTTTAAAATGAAAAATGTTTTCATTGAGCGAAATAATTTCTGGATGTGATATTTTTAAATGTTTCAAGAAGTTTCTAGTACTGTGTATTGATCAGGCCTATTGTTTTCTTTTGAACCTTCAATTATTTTTATTCCAAGCCGTTGATTAAAATGAGCCTCAAAAAGACCTGGTAATGTGTAAAAGTTTTAAATAAGTTATGAATCGATTCTTAAACGCCTAACGGACAGGGTGTGTCAACATTATATTAGATCGTTTCCAGCTCTTAATTGAGATTTCGGGGACTATCAGAAAATTTTTAAAAACAATAATCATTTTAAAAAATGTACAAGGCGCAAAACTCACTTTACTCTTTTTACCCATTAGAAAGGGGTCTGAAGTAGCCGTTTAAGGAAATGTCATTCTTGAATCTTTTTTTGTGATAAGACTGATTTAATATTTAGCTATCGAGCAATTGGAAAAAAATGTCTTGATAAATATGGGTCGACTGAATTCTCATCTGCTTCACAACTCAATAGCAGCCTCAAAACTGATTCTCTTTCTCGCCCTGATTCACTCTCGGAAGAATTTATAATCGCATTAAAGTCTCATGAATAACCTGGTACTTTCGCTTGACCTCTCAAAACAAAAACAGTAATTGTAGGGAAAATGAAATACGGGAGTCAGAGGTTTTTTTATTTCACCACATAATAAATGTAGTAAAATTAATATGGTTATAATGCGTCTTTTTTTAGGATGAATTTTATTTTTAAAACAATTATTTTTTTATTTCGACTTGACGCTGAGAATTTTATTTACTCGTTTTGGGTTTGAAGGAATTTTGAACAAGCTCACCGCAGAGGTGTATACACAAAATAATTACCCCCCCCCCTCCCCCATAAATCTTTTCCCCCACAGAATTTAGGTTTTTTAAAAAAGATTTATTTTCTCTGAAGTGGGGAAAATAAATTAAATATTGGCTAAATAGTATAAATAAGAAAGAAAAAACTTGCCCTTTAATTCTTAAAAATAGACACTCCTGCATAGTGCAGTGAGTGTGTATTAATGTAATAAATATTTTCAATAATTATTTATTAATAAAGGTTCGGGATAGCAATGAGTCTACATATGCTCGTATCCCAATACGACGTAGAGGAGAGGGGTTACTACTCTATGGTCCTATACCACAGAAAACCCAGGTTCTGGTTTTTCTTTTTCTTCTCTGGCACTGTTGAAAATAATGTAAATCAAATTTTATTTTATTTTTTGACACTTTTTATTCTTTCGCATGCCTTCAGAATTGTTATAATGAAAATAATTTTGCCCAAAAATTTTTTTTTACATATTTACGCATTACATAATTTTCCCCCCCCCCCCATCTCTCATAACTCCTCTTTGCCTTGAAATACAATTATTGCTGGTGTCACAAACTAGAAATCCCGTACAAAGGTAGAGTTATTTAATACTGCACTTGAAAAAGAACGAATTTAAAGGGGATGTAGGCGTAATTTCAAGTGACCCTCTCTATGTGTAGAATATCCGACTCACAACAGTACCCTTTAAACTCTTGTATACTGAAGGTTTTCTGACTTATTCTTCAAAAACGCCTGTAATTGTTAAACACTTTATTTGCAAGCTGTAATTTATTTAAAACATCAATTTGTACTTTCAATGCGACACAAAAAAAAAATATTTTTTTTCAGATCTTTGGACGTCAAATATTTGGTATTTTCTTAGGGCACAAGTCACGATAGCTGAATTCAGTTCACTCTGTACGCGAGCGCAATCTCCGGTTTTACAGGAATACTAAAATATTTGAGAGATAAAATCAGGAAGATCTCTGTCCTCAATAAACAGTCAAGGAATTAGTGGATACCGTTGACAATCGGACATTGCTTTCTGTGGATAGAGTGTCAGTTCAAATTACGCCTATATTCCCTTTCGAGTGAATTAAGTTTACCGATAGGAAAGAAAGTGTGGAGTGAATGAAGACAAATAAAGATCCTTATAATACTCTCAAAATTAATATTTTTCCGATATTCAAATATTTACATTTGCTTTATTCTATTTTTATTTCTATTCAATATTCTTTCACTGCATGGTTGCTTCATGCTTTTTATGAAGATTGATGATAGTTACATTTTTTTGTAAGCTTCTTAATTGATTGATTTAATTTTTGTTGTTGTTAAAATGGTAAAATTGGGTTTGGTTGTTGATTAATTGATTGGTTAGCTGGTTGATAAATTGGCTGGTTTGTCGTTTGGTTGGATAGTTATCAATTGGTTTGTTGGTTGGTTATGGTTTGTAATTTTTTGGTTGGATGGCTGGTAGTTTTAACGGTAGATTTGATTAATTAGGATTTAGATTGTCGATTGATTTGATTAATTGATAGGTCTTCAGCTTGATAAGAGTTTAATTGGTTGATAAATTGATTGCGTGATGGCGTAATTGGTTGATTGATTGATTGATTGATTGATTGATTGGTTTATAAAGAGAAGTAAAGGAAGTAAATATTTAGGGAAGTAAAGATGAGGAAGCGAAGGAAGTTAATATTTACGATATTGTTGCGCACAACCATTCCAGTAAATCTACAACACATTGCATCAGGTATATTAAATCATTAGATCATTAAATCACGAATTATTAGATTATTAGCTAAGGTACCCGGCGTTGCCCGTGGATTTATTAAAAAATCGATTTTAAAAAAACTTTCGTTTTTTAAAAGATCATGTTACTCACAAGGTAACCGTGGGTTCCCTAAAAAATTTCAGCCAATTCGGTCCAGCCTTTTGGCCAGCTATAGCTAACATATACACATATACAAACATACAAATATATATATATATATACTAAGCTATCTTCTATTTCAATTGTAAACATTTTCTTTTTTTGGAAAATTCTATCAAGCATAAGCCTTCCCTGGGGTCATGTGATGTCCTACACAAAATTTGGGCCCCGATAGGTTCTGCCGTTTTGACGTTTATTGAATACAAACAAACAAGCAAAGTACATATATAGATGAGCGAAGAGTTTTATTATATAGATTAAAGTTAAAGAGATTGTCGACCAAATATTGACTGGCCTACTTTACTTAAAAAACGGAATTAACGGTTTGCAGCGCTCACCAACTGTTTATCTCAGTATCAATATTCAATGTATTTTGTGAAATTATGACTTAGACCCGCGGAGTTTTTAAATTTAAACGCTGATTTAATTAGCAAAGACGAATAAAAATATTGCTTCCATCTGTTCCGTTTCAGATTTTACCCCATAGTTGATCAAATATAGATTGTGAATCATTGATAGCTCTTTTTAATGAAGAGTTACTGAATATAATTTTTACCATCCTTCCAGAAAGGCCCAAAATAATTTTTTAGCGATAAAAAAAAAAATATGGTTGACAAGTTTTAATGAAAAGTTAGAAGTAGTTGAGCTTCAAAGACAAAGTTGACCCATTTCACTTATGTGGCCGGTTCAAGTTCAAGAAAAGTGGCTCAACTAAGTAGGGGTGTATGTTTTCAGAATTACACTCCCTCCCCTTTCCATGAGGTCGGGGTGATATTTGATGGATTGGGGAAGATAAATGAAAAATGGGATATCAAGGTCTCAGATTATTGAATAGATAAATGGTATTTATTAATACTTGTTTTCAGTGCTTAGGATCCATTTAATTTTGATGCGGATCCAGATTATTTCTTAAAAATTTACTGATTTTTTTTAATAGTTCAGATTTGGGGTTTGAGAGTGAACTTGTTTTTGCAGTTTTTGGTCGATATTTTGCCCATTGGATCCGGATCCAGGAAGCCAAAATCTTACGGATCCGGATCCTAAGCTTTTCTTCTTTTAGTTATTTCTTTTGATTTAAAATGTTTGTTTTCAGTATTTTCCGCAGCGTAGATGTGGATGAGGCTGAGAGTAGGTTTGAACTGTATAATGAAAAAATAACAATATTTCTAGGTGAGTAAACACTAAACAAGTTCTTTGTTAAGAATTAAACATCTTAAAAATCCAATGTATAGTCATAGTATTTATTCAAAATAATAATGTATGATGGTTAAGCTAAAAACAAAATACAAGAAAATTTAATATGAGCCAATAGAAATATAATGTTTAATAATTTTGTTCTGTTCGGTATTTGTTGAAACAAACTCTATTCATATTGAAATCTCAACTGAATAAATATCCTTTGTGCATTTACAAGTAGATACTTAGTCAGCACTCAGATAATCAAAACATTTTCAGGAATGCATTCATTTAACTAATAAATACAGTATTGACAAAAGTAGCAATGTATTCTCGTTGACTGCAGTAGACTTTGACATCCATCATTAGCTAAGGGTTTGAACCCAATCTTGTTGACATCAGTAGATTTTCACATCTACCATTAGCAAAGGGTGTGAACCCATTCTCGTAGACTGTAGTAGACTTTGACATCTAGCATTAGCAAAAGGTGTTAACCCATTCTTGTTGACTTTAGTAGACTTTGACATCTACCATTAGCAAAGGGTGTAAACCCATTCTTGTAGACTGTAGTAGACTTTGACATCTAGCATTAGCAAAGGGTGTGAACCCATTCTTGTTGACTTTAATAGACTTTGAAATCTAGCCTTAGCAAAGGGTGTGAACCCATACTCGTTGACTCTAGTAGACTTTGACATCTACCATTGGCAAAGGGTGTGAACCCATACTCGTTGACTGTAAAAAGGTTATATAAGGGTTGCGGCCCTAGTCCTGAATATATTCTGCAATCATTTTGTATGCTTTCTCTCAGAGCGAGGAGATGTTTACACCTGGACTGCTTTCTACTAACTACTATATATAAAGCGGAATAATAGGCGTTTAAGTTACCTCTTTCTAGAAAAGCTAAAACATTTCTAATTAGTAATATTTATTAAAATCTAGGAACATTTTCAGAGATTCAATATCTACCAAGTCCATACCAGTAAATCTAATTTATAGATATAACAAATTGACTACAACGTTATTGCTTACACCTTACACCGCAAAGTTAGTCCCATATTTAAGTTTTTATATTAGAAAGATTATTTTTATTTTATATTTTTTTGTTATTTGAAATATCTTTGACGGTGTTTTTTTGCTGAAACGCAAAAAATTGTGTTTAATTTAAAGTTCTCTGGAAATTAAATAAACTTTGAAACTTCTATAATATTTTCAATTGTGGCTCTATCGGTGAGCATCTTCTCTTTGTACAATATAAAACAATAACACAAAAAGTTCGCGGATTAATTAATATTTTTCGTGCATTTATAAAATTTAGCAAAAATCAAAAACTTTTGAACACATTTTTTTGTTATTTTGAGCATCCTTAAACCTTTTCTCGGGTCATGTTAGGTCCCACAAAAAATTTGGGCCCGATCGGTTCAGCCGTTTTGACGTTTATTGGATACAAACAAACAGACAACCAAACAAACAGACAAACAAGCCAAATTTATACATAGATGGCCTTCAACTGTTCAACTGAGATAGGGGGAATTTTTTTGGGTTTACCCTCTAAAGAAGGAGTTTTGCTATATTTTTTTACGANAGATAGGGGGAATTTTTTTGGGTTTACCCTCTAAAGAAGGAGTTTTGCTATATTTGTGTACGAGAGAAAAATTACATTTTTATTATTTTTTTTTCAGAAGTGAAACCCGAGCTGTATTCTGTGAATCCTTTGCAGAAACTCTGTGATACTGTTAGGAACAAAATTATTAAATTCATGATAATAAAAAAGAACTGTTCGTGTTTATGATTCGGGACCTTTCATTCAGTTCACAACGGAACTCTTCAAACATTTATAAAACTATCAATGTCTTTGCTTTCTTGTAAAATAATTAGCTCCTGTGTATTAATAAGTAAATCATGGATTTTTGAAGAAAGAAAATAGCCGAGATTTTCCCCATTGTGAATCCTTGAGGGACAAACAGTTTTAATATCCCTCAAGAAGCGTTGAGAATTTGACTACCATAAGTGTAAGATCTATTATTTTCTTGATTCTTCCTCGAAATTCATATTTTTGAGGGGTTTCCGAAAATTTTTTGAAATTTCATTTAGCTAAGATGATTACTCTTTTTTTGTGGCATTTCCTAATTTTTAAAAACTTCATTTAAGTTGAGGTGTTTCCTCTTTTTTTGAGGCGTTTCCGCATATTTTTGAGGCGGTTTTTATAAAAAACGCCTCAAAATTTGTCCAGAAACGACTCAAAAAAAGAGGAAACACCGCAACTGAAAGAAGTTTTTAAAGTATTTTTTTTAAAGGGGAACGGCGCTAAAAATTCCGAAAACAAAAAAAGAGGAAACAATACCACTAAATGAAGTTTTTTAAAATAAGGAAATGCCACGAAAAAAGAGGAATCATCTTGGCTAACTGGAATTTCAAAAAATTCGGAAACCCCTCAAAAATATTAGGAAATTCCTCAAAAATATTTGTCAACTAAAAAGTGGATACGCCTAAAAAGAATTTTAGAAACGCCCCAAAATAAGGAGGAAACCCCTCAAAAACTGGGTTTTGAGGAATTTCCAAAAATATCAGAGAAATCGCGAAAACAACTCAAAAATGTTGACTTGAGGGGTTTCGGCTTTTTTATGAGTCATTTTTCCGTGGTGAGATGTTTCCATAACACCGATATTTTCAGAGCTTTTGGGTTTTTTATAAATAATTATATTTCAAAAAATAATTTTGTGTGAAAAGAATGAATCCTGATTGGTCAGTTTGCCATGTTGCAGTACACCTAGATTATATTGAGACACTCACGCATTCAAGGTAAAGTGTACATTGTATGGCAAGGGAGGACAATTCAGTGTATGACAAGGAAGGTCGACAAAGTGTACAGCAAGGGAGGACAATTTAGTGTATGACAAGGAAGATCGACAAAGTGTACAGCAAGGGAGGACAATTTAGTGTATGACAAGGAAGATCGACAAAGTGTACAGCAAGGGAGGACAATTTAGTGTATGACAAGGAAGATCGACAAAGTGTACAGCAAGGGAGGACAATTTAGTGTATGACAAGGAAGATCGACAAAGTGTACAGCAAGGGAGGACAATTTAGTGTATGACAAGGAAGATCGACAAAGTGTACAGCAAGGGAGGACAATTTAGTGTATGACAAGGAAGGTCGACTAAATGTACAGCAAGGGAGGACAATTCAGTGTATGACAAGGAAGGTCTATAAAGTGTACAGCAAGGGAGGAAATTTAGTGTATGGCAAGGGAGGACAAATTTAGTGTGTGACAAGGAAGGTCTATAAAGTGTACATCAAGGGAGGAAATTTAGTGTATGACAAGGAAGGTCTATAAAGTGTACAGCAAGGGAGGAAATTTAGTGTACAGCAAGGGAGGTTGATTTAAATGTATAGTAAGGGAAGTCGATTTAAAAAAATTGAATCTATAGCGTCAACAGAATTTATAGCATACCTACCAGCCACACAATGAGATCCCTCTCACAACCCTCAAACTGTATCAATTCCTTCGCAGTACACTTTATCAACCTCCCTTGACGTACACTTTATCAACCTCCCTTGACGTACACTTTATTTACCTCCCTTGCCACACACTTAATCAACCTCCCTTGCCACACACTTTTATCAACCTCCCTTGCCACACACTTAATCAACCTCCCTTGCCACACACTTAATCAACCTCCCTTGCCACACACTTAATCAACCTCCCTTGCCACACACTTAATCAACCTCTCTTGCTATACACTAAATCGTCCTCCCTTGCTGTACACTTAATCAACCTCCCTTGCCACACACTTAATCAACCTCCCTTGCTATACACTAAATCGTCCTCCCTTGCTGTACACTTAATCGACGGAACTGAAAGAGAGTACGTTTTTCAGTAGAGGAAATGGCACAGCTACTGTAGAAAACACGCCATACAACCTCTTACCCCTGCTATAGAAGATGTAGTTAATTTTTTGACCTTTTAAAACAAGGTTTACAATATAGTACTATTAACACTGCAAAATCTGTTTTATCTAGTACCTTACCTCCTGTTGACGGTCTACCGTTGGAAAACATTTAGTTTGTAGACTTATGAGGGGCATTGTTTAAAAAACCAAGGTTGTGGCTCTTTTCCCAGAATGGTAAATTGGTACAGTACTGGAAAACATCAAGTCCTTGAGACCTAACAATTCTCGAGACCTGAAACTTTTGTCGTACAAGACTGTATTTCTACTAGCTTTATGCTGTGCGAAGCATTCTAGTTCCATCTCTCTATTCTCTGTTGATCCTGGTGAATCTCAATGCAATGATGATCTCGTAAGATTAGTCCCAGTGGGTTTGGAAAAACATGCAAGACCTGGTTATTCACAGAAACCTGTCATTATTCATTCTTTCACAGTAAGCTTCCTCCTTGATCCAGTTAATAAACAGACACCGTACTCACTCTATCAGACGAACCAACTTTCTATTTGTCAAACTCACCTCTCCTCATGACTAAGTAGCTTCAGTTACTATATCTAGATGGATAAGCTCAGTTATTAGGTTGAGGGGCAGGCTAGTTCTGGTGATTCGACTAGATCTACCTCATCATCAACCTCCTTCTCAAAAGGAATGTCCTAATTGATGCTGTATTAGAAGCTGGTAATTGGTCCAGAGCTTCTACTTTTCAGAGATTTTATTCTAAACCATGTAATGAGTCTACTCTCTCTGATATTGTTCTAAAATTATTGTTTTTGTTTTTCTAGGTTTATTCCTCACCTAAACGCCGAGACAGGAAACGGATTGACCCCTTTACTGCTGACGGTTAAGCAGGGAAGCAAGCATATAACCCTGGCAGTTCTTCAGGCGGGAGCTAGGTAAGCATTAAGGTTTCTTTAATGGAAAGTTAGAGGATTTATTACTTAGTTTTCAGACATAAATAAAGTGACTGCAGACGTAACATTGATAGATTTCCAAAATTTAAAAATAATTACATTTTTTCAAGACAAAATCTTTCGCTTTTAACCGTCTATAAACCTTGAGTTGCCACCAAAACATTGGACCCAATTGATGCGGCAGTTTTAACGTTTATTGGATACAAACAAACTCTTAGTATATTATCCATAAAGAAAAAGTAGTAATTTCTGTTTGTTTGTTTGTGTTAAGAACCACAGGAATGGTTTTAGCTTGGTTCAAAAGTTTTAAGTTGAGTGGGATAACTTATATTGGAAAAGTTGCGATTTCCTGGCAACCTGGGTTCCCAATCTTGTCACTGTATGAAGTTTTTTTATTGAATAGTTTGGAAGGAAAAGATAAGAGTACTGGATATAATTGTTTTCATCTTGCCTCTACTTCTACCTCAGCACTAGTTGAAATACTAGCTGTATCATCCAAGGTAATTGTTCTTAATAATTTGGTACACAATTCAATAAGTTAATGTCTAAAATTGTTTTGATTTTTTTTACTCTTCATACAAACTCAAGTCTTAAAATCGGGGCTTTTATACATAATGCCTGAGTGTAAGGTTAACAATTCGAATTATTCAACAAAATAATTGTTAAATATTTAAAACTTGAATGTTTACTAACTATCTTGAGAAAAAATTTCCCTTCCCAGAATTTAAAATGAAATTTAGACAAGCAATGAGATGTGATTTGTTAACAACCTTTTATAAGTACATTTAGCTAATTTCTTTTACCAAGACAATTCCCAAAACAATTTTCCTGTTTTTGCTATTTTTATGATGAGACTTGATTTCCTATTCATGGTTCAGGGAGGTTTTAAGATATCGCATTGGCTGAAACTAAAAAATTTGTGTTTTTGTGATCAAATAGTTTTTTTTTATGTTTTAGTTGAAATTTTTCCACTTGGATCCAGATCCAAGGGTCCCTGGGGATTCCTAGATCTGGATCCAGATACCTAAACCTTTATTTATATTCTAAGTTTTACTTAATTATTTCTAAATTTTCCCTGTTTTTTCTAAAGTAATTTATTTTAAATGATTAATTGATTTGAAATTGTTTTCTGACAGGCCAAGGAGGATGTACTTTGCAAACTATTAAATGAACGTGGAAAGGATGAAAAGACACCTCTTCACTTAGCTGCTGAAGCTGATAAACCAGATATAGTCATAACTTTGCTTAATCATGGTAAAATATAATTTAATGTTTATTTAGATAAATGTTTTAATGTACAACTGATTAGGACACTAGCGTGCAAAAAAGTAATATAAAGTTCAGGATTAAAAGTACTTTATTTCAAGAGAACCTCCCTGAAAGATGTCACTGCCAGATTTCAATTTTTTTTTATCATCTTTTTCTTAAAATTTTGTTTTCTAAATTTTCCTTTTATTGTCTGCTTTAAATTAAAGGGATTTGCTGACAATAGAAAATTAAGATTTAATACACATAATTTGCAGAGGCATATATACAGGAGGGGGGGGGGGGCTAAAGTGGCCTCCCTCCTTGATCAGTGAAGTCTATGGTTTCCAAGAAGATGCATGCTTAATTTTGTACAAGAAGGGAAAAGGGGAATGGGAAGGGGGAAAAGGGAAGGAGATTTGAAAAGGGATGGGTAAAGAAATGGGGGGAAGCGAAAAGGAATGGGAAAGGGGATTGATGTAAGGGAAGGGATAGGGAATGGGAAAGAGAAAGAGAAAGAGAAAGGGGAAATCGATATGGGAAGAGGGAGGAAAAAAGGGAAAGGGGATTTGAAAGGGGAAAGAGGAAGGCTAAGGGACAGGAAATGAGAAGAGAAAGGTTAACGGAAAGGAGAAATTGGTTAGAGGATGATGTTTTATTAATGCAAAATGTTTGTCAACTTTATGTTTTCAAACCAAGTGAAATTGAAACTTAAGGTCTCTGAAAACATTTACCTTTGATGAAAGTGGAACATAAGAAAATTGTTGTTAAAGGCAATGTTGGTCTATGCCATAAAATTTCAAACATGCAGCGTAACGTTTCAAACGTTTTGAATTTGATAAACACTATTGTAATGGAAGCTGAAATTATATGAAAGTAAAACATTGACATCTCTAATACAGGGTACCCTTGTTAATCAAACATGCCTCTCTATTAATGGAAGGTCACTTGAAATTACACATCTATCTAATTGTTCCACAGTAAAGTTTAGTGGTAAGTCAGTTGGTCAATGGTAATGAAATTTTCAAACAGAAAACTTATTGATTATAAAATCCAGAAATGTCTGGGTGAGGGACAGGGCAGAAACTCCTAGCACCAGTCCCATTAGACCCCCAACTCCATTCACCAAACTCCAAAAATCATAAACCAGTGTTTCTGTGATAAACTGAAACATAGAGAAAACTTTTGATACACCATAAAAATGCAGTTTCAGGATCCTTTTCATGGAATTAGGATTAGGATTTCGTATCTTTTTTAAAGAGTAAAAACCCAAGCTGGACATTTTATGATTTAAATTCATGCTTTTCAATATAATTCCCTCTTTTAAATAGTTGAACTTTTATTTATTTACTTCTTGATCTCTTATACAATACCTCAGTTCTACCACTTTTAGCTTTTAAAACAAACTCTGAGGTCCAGTTTGTTTTCCAATATATCTTCTCCTCCTTCAATTCAGTGGTCCAAATCTCACGAGTGCATGGAACAAGACAACCTAGATAAATATTTGTCTACTAATCAACAAATTTTCTAAAATTGGTATCTACCTGTTAAATCTTTTATTTCCGAATAGGTGATAGATTGAAGCTGAGCTGTTATTTTGGCATAAGTACGTATTTGGGCGACAAGGGTGCATGGTGGAAATCCATTTTTTGGAGCTGTAAACCAGTCAAGCTCACATCCAGTTTGTTCATGAATGTAGTTAAACATACAAGCTGTTGTGCTATAATCCTAAATATTTGTTTTTTTTAGATGCTAATTTTCAGGAAAGTTGATAATATATATTCTATCTGAGAAAGTAAAGATCAAGTTGTGCTTTAGACTGTCTTTTAGAAGCTTACTGCTGATAAGATTTATCAACTAAAGCTTAAGATAGAGTTTGCTTTTCATTTTATCATGTTTTGTCTTGCAGTTTCTGGAGGAATGTAAACAAAAATTATCCTGAGCAGTACTGCTTTTGTTCACAGTGCTCCCAGAAACTGTCACACAATTTTTGCAAAGAAAGATTAAGAAGATTCTGTTGTATCTTGCTTGACCAGGTAGAACTTTAGCAGATAATAATGTTTGTAGAATTGTTGAAGTTTATGATTGCTTACGGAATCAGGGTTGCAGGAGCCAGGAATTCTTGTTTCCACTGATTTATCAAAAACAACCTAAATTACCATGGTAAACATATTATATAACATTAATTGTTATTTTTTATTTTAAGATTTGAGCTTACAGATAAACTTGTGTGTAGATTTAGCTCAATATCACCATTCTGTCCATTTACAATCATACTGTTGGCTGGCCAAAAATGCTGTAAAAAGGCAAATAAAATATGACAAATTGGTTATTGTTCTAACACTTACTTTCCTTGTAAACATTACCTTGGCTGAATGAATGTAGATATAATATCCTCTCAAGGATAGTCTACTCGTCTCCATTCCATCTCCCAGAAAAGCATACAAGTTCCCTTGTTTCCCAGTTGTAAAATGATCAGTTGAGGTGTAGGTATGGCAATGTCCAGATTTCCATGGATCCAAGTCAAACATCCTTTGCTGCCAAAGGTGGGCAAATAATGGGCTGGCCAGGTTTTTTGAGCTTTCTGATCTAGGTAAAGAGCCATCACAGTCTGGAGAGCAATATCCGTAATAAGAGGGAACGATTGAACTATTTTTAAATACTCGAGTAGCACACCAAGGTCGGACATCATCAACATATGTACAGTTGTAGTGAAGCTCTTGTAAATTAGTTTGGTCAAATGAGTCACAGTAGAAGCTTCTTGTTGGACTCACTGGATCACTTAGCCTACAGTCTCTTCTGAGAAAGGGGAAAATGCATGGCTGGCCTGACAGTGTACTTCCATCAATTGTGTTACAGTCAAAGTTTGATTCATTCCTCTTGCTCTTGTGGTTAATAAAGGTGAACAGTGTTTCCCTGCCTAAAGTATTGTTGATTACCCAGCTCTTGTCAAAGATTGGTGATTTCATCTCCATCTCATCAAGGAAGGCAGGGTTGGGATTGTTAAAGATGTATTTCTTGCAGAATGTTACAGAGGGGAAATCAACTAAAGCTGCCTCTTCAAAGGTGCTGAAATTATTCTGATTCATGAACTGTTTTTTAACAGATTTTTATTGGCATTAAAATACTACCCCAGTCTCACAACATAAATTACAATTTGACATTTTTTTAAATTCAATATTCTTGGCTAGACAGAAAGGGGATGGTGGAAGTGGCACATTTGATGTGGGGGGGGGGGGGCCTGCCTTCATTTTTGGTTCAAATCTTCCAAATTTTTGG